CTCAGGTTTTTCACCATCCTTGAACTTCTTTGACAGCACGACGGGCACAATGGCCAGCAATAGTAAAATAAACTGTATTTGCATTTTTTAAATTTTATTTTATTTTTGTTTTTTTATTTTTTTGTTATCTGGTTTATCGACAAAAGGGATGTCAAACGAAATATATTTATGACTACGAATATACAGCACGCATCTGGTTGCATAAGCATGACGTTTCTATTGTTTAGCAAATGAATTCTTTTCTTTTAGACATTTGACTAATCACATCTCGGATTTGCTTCTCCTAAGAAGCTTCTATCGCAGATTCTTTTAGCTTTGAGGGGGCCGAGAGTCTGAGATACATACATATATAAGGCAGTATTGGCCAGGGATCCTATTGGCTTTGGACGTAAAATTTGCTGCACAACTTTATCGGAAGTTATTGGAATGGAACTGGCCTGATTAATCGCATAGTAAAAGAAAGCTTGTGGCACATCCAACATTTTAATTATACTGAACGATCCTCAACTTTGTCGTGGGTTCAATTTATTTGATCCAATGTCGTCTAATGCAATTAGCTATGCTGATTTCCCTCACTTTTCTCAACCGAAACCGTTTTTGTAGATGCTGAACTTCACAAAAGAGAATCGATTTTCCACTAGACTAGAGGTTTCTTACTTAATATACATATATGATAGTTATGCAGCCATTTCTAATTGATCTAAATTCTCTTTTATACTATCTGATTTTGGGATGAGGGGGAATGACTTCTCTTAATCAAACGAAACGACATCTCCAAAGATCAGGTATACAAATAATTTAGATGATGACTATTTGTGGAGTGAAGTTCAATTTTAATCATATTTAAGGCATTATATTGATCCACGGCAACATTTAATTATATTTATATAACAAGGGCAAGCAATATATGTACATTTTCTAAATTGAAACATGAGAGGAATCGCAGGTTAGATGCACTGCACCTGGTTGTATCGCAGGCAGGCGCCGATGTTATCCTCTGCACTTCCCTTGCCAGCGGCGCCTCCGTCGCCAAAGTGGACTCCTATGTAGAATGGAGTGACTGTGCTCTCTATGCGACAGGGCCAAATGCCTGAGGAGCAAAACTGCGCGCCGCAGTGAACCGGCTCACAGCCCGGTAATGGACCGAAGCCTGTGCCAATGAAATCCTCAATAATGCAGGGCATTGTTATGCGATCCGTGCAAGTGCTAAAGAATTGACGCGACTGACGATGGCGGCGTTGCTGTAGATGCCTCAGGCGCAAGTCAAGAGCACTACGCAAGAAGCCCAGCAGATCAAAGCCACCCGAGGGACTGGCGCCACCCACTGGCCTTGGACGCCTTGAGACGCCGGGCTGTGATGTAGTCCCGACATTGTTGCCATCGTCCCCTTTGGAGAAAAAGAAGAAATTGTCATCGTCACCCGAGCCCTCGGCATCGTCGTTAGCCGGTGAGGGTGAGGGTGAGGCTGACGATGACGTCGTTTCACTCGCAGCCGTGCTCTCGTCCATAGCTGGCATAATGCTTGAACGTAAAGGCATTGATGTTGTCATTGCTGCCGTGCTGCTATTACCACCGGCAGCAGCACCCGTAGCTGCCGTTGTGCTGCTACCGTTGCTTGACATTGGCGCTGCAGTTGTGGAACAATTGACCAAATTGCTCAGAACTTGCGCCACATTCGGCTTCATGGTAGTCGTAGCCGCGCTGCTTGGTGTTGTGGCGCTGGTAGCTGTCGTTGCTGTCGTCGTTGTCATGGATGCCGTCTCCGTCTGTGCAGAGGCTGATGGGGTGCTAGTCATGCTGGCCGCCATGTTCATTATGGACATAAACGATCCACCGCTACCGCCGCCACCAATGCGAAAGGATTGCTCATCGCAGGGCTGATATATTATCGAGCACATGTCGGACTCTTGGCGCACACAGATCCGATAATGCTGATTGGCCAAATGCCTTCCATTGTCGGCAAAATTGAAGGTCTGCATAATGCCTTCTGCGCCAGTATGATATTGTAAGCATCCAGCCGGAGCACGCTGACTGAAGGGTATTTGCGTTACCCGAATCTCCCACAATCGAATGGGCAGAAAACGTGAGCTCACGTTTATATTGATCTCAATGAGCTGTTCGATGTCGCTGGCATTCACTTCGCTAATGTTGACATTAGCTGGCTGTCGAAGAGTTCCATACAACGTTGATTGACGCGGCAAGGATCGGGCTCCCACATCGTAGTACACTAAGCAAAAAATATTTGGTATTAGATGTAGATAGTGTAACTGCTCTACTCACAGTGTTGTCCATTATTTTGGCCACAAAGCGTTAGGGGTCCACTGGGGCCGCCGCTGATATTGAAGACATCTCCATCGCAGACCCCCGTGCGTCGATTGGGCTGGCCCAGCGAGAAATGATTGAGATCAAGGCGTAGCTGACTAATCTCTGGACTCATAATTTTTACCTTCAGCTGGCAGCCAGTGAAGTTGCTTGGCATGAAGCTGGGAAACTCTGGCGAGACAATATACGTCAGGTTGTTGTTGATAGTTCCATTGCAACTGGCCACAAACACGCAGCAGACGCCAAAGCTCATCGCACATTCGCCCTTGGCCTGTCCACCCTTCTGCCGGCATTCGTACGCATTTAAGCAATTACCCAATCGTCGACCATCACTCGATAGGCACTCCCCATCCACCGGCACGGCAAATAAATGAATAACTGAAAAACAACGAACAAATTGTCTTTTACTAAATTCATTTGAAGAACTTACTATCATAAGTATATCATTCATACACTACTTTGGCAGTGACGTCACATCAAATATGTAAGTTGCTGAATTACAAAATAGAGTTCTGTCTAATTTCACTCTTTTACCTTGGGCTCTATACACATATTTGCATATATACATGAACAGAATAGCCTAGTTAGTGTTAGGAGAGATTTAGCAAACACTATTATACAAATCTATGAGCTAAATTAAATGCACGCAGATCAAGAAAACAAATTTTTTTTTCATATTTTTTAGAATATCATTAAACTAGGTACTTCGAATATTTCATAGGTATTTCTTTAAGATCGTGCTATATAATAATAGTTCCTAGGATATTTTTTGCTCACTCTAATTTTTGTCAAGTTTCCAAGTCTTCCGCTTGACCTTGACCTACTTACCTTTGGGATTGCGATTGCCGTTGCCATTGAGCTCTGGATATGTCCCAGAATCGCTCCAATTGACAGTGGAAGAGAGATTGCTGGCAAGAGTGTATGATTGCTGCAGCAATAATTGTTCGTGCTCTGCGCGCTCCGCAACATCCTGATCGTCGATTAGCTCCAGTTCCATCTGCAGCTGTTGGTCAGCAGTTTGAGCTTGCAAATCGTCGCTCCAGATATCGTAATGTTGCATGGGTGGCCAGGCAGATTCATTCGCTGCCGTTGCGGCCTCCAAAGTGGGGGCTGACTGGCACAGCTGAGTGTTGAGCCAAATTGTGAATATGCCAACAAACAGCAGCCGCAGCGGGTTACAGCAACTAATAGCACCGTCAACAGCAGCAGCAGCTTCACAGCAACCGGCTCGTCCAGCAAGCACAATAACTTTCTTTTTGGTCGAACATCGTAATAAGCTAACAATTTTATTACACTTGCTTAGCCGCAGTTGGGGCAGAGCGGTAATGATTAGCCATGCCATGGCCAATGTTAATGCTAATGCCAATGCCAATGCCAATGCTAATGCTAATGCTATTTGGCTCACAGCTTTAACTGCGTTTCGCTTTTGCGCGTGCGCTCCGTTGCGTTGCTCAACGTTAAGTGTGCAGCCGGCTCCAGCTTCGGCTTCGGTCACCAGCTCCCAGCTGTCCAAGCCAGCTTAGATGCTTTGCTGCATTGGTGGCCCGATCAGCTTTTCTCTCTCTCTCTCTCTCTCTCTCTCTCTCTCTCTCAGTTCTCGTTTTCGGTTGCTGTCGACTTGTGCTAATTTCTGTTTCCTATGCTCGCTCATGTGCTCTATATTTTTTATTGGATTTCCAGATTGGCGCATTCACTGAATGCATTTGATCTTGGACAACTCAGGGTTTGGGCTTCTTGATCTCTTTTCCACAGACAGCCAAAGCTCTGCTTAATGAGCTTGGTTATCCCGTGAATTGGCTGCAATTGGTTTCAGTTTTGCATTTGTGCTGCATCATGGCAATCGCTGTTGTTGTTGTTCTTGTTGTTGTTGTCAGTTTGGTGTTTGGTGAATGAATGCGAAACAGAGGCAACATAATCAGGTTAAACAGCTCTTTGAGTAACTTACACTTGGAGCAGCAACAACAACAACAACATCAACAACCACGACAAAAACAGTGAGCAAGACAAACAAGTCTTCAAGCAGCGAAAAGCTAAACATAGAAAGCTGACGAGTTCAGTGAAGAAAATCTGAATGTAAATGGTTAGCTGACTAATTTAGAACATTATTAATATAATTATCTTCAGTTCTAATTCACTTTTTCCTTCTTATTCTCACAGTTTAATGCATCATTATTATTATTGAGAGTAAGCATAGAAGCTGAGACTTGAGACTCACATTGTAATTCAAATACGAACAGGATATTAAAATACCAACTGATCATTTTTGATTTATTCGCTATTCGTGATCTGATATCATTGTTGTTGCTGTGGACTGTATAGCACTGCTGCCATGCTTACGGCGTGTACGAAATTCTGATTTTCAAATACATGCAAATATATAAATATGTATATATGGTCTTTAATTTAAGAAAATAGAGTAAAATAAAAGTAAGTCAAGAAATGTGAAAACTCAAATATTCTCAGATTTTGAGCAATCAACAGCCAATTCTTTTTTAACAGATTTCCAACTCTCCCAGATTGGGATTGTGAATAGGAATAGAGAATTAGTATCAATTTGTTCTATTATTTTAACTTCTTCTTCAGTCCCCTAAAGCTATCCATTTTTACACATAGAACAATAAATTCATTGGCTCATCTAGGCTTCGAAAATATCTGTTTTGGACAGTGATTTACTTAACAATTTGCTTTCTTTAAATATAATTCTAAAACTACTCTAATAATTTATTAACTATTTTTATTAATTACTGTGTTTGTGCAACTATGTCTTAGAAATTCGAAATGATATCGTATACATGAGGTACTCTCAAGTCAAATATTTGAAAGATTAATTTGAAGATTTTGGGCCAGCTCTATATGATTTCTTCTTCTTAGAAATTGCACATACAATTGAGTTACGTCCAAAAAGGAAAAGACAAATTGTATATGTGGAAATATTGTTTGATTTGTATTTATGCATATGCTCGTGCGGTAGTTTTGTAAGCTACTGCTCGAGGATTTGTTAATTTAAGATAGGATTGATTTGTAACATTAGCAGTGTATGTAAAATATAAAAAAATAACAGTCAAGGATTATAAAAATAGGTATTTTGAGTATTTGTTTTCATTTTCTTTTTGTTTTAAATAAAGCACTTAAACTTATGTCATAGTTTGAACTTTGTACAATGTGTTTTTAGTAAGTGTGTTAGCCAAGTTTTGTTGAATGTATCGTCTGATATTTTCGGATGCCTATAGTGGCTCTAGGGCGGTGGGACCATGTGGACTGCCTTCCAGCTTGCGCCAGACAACGTTGCACATTTCGCGCACTAGCGCCTTTTCGCCATCGTCCATCTGATCGAGGGCACAGCCCGCCAGATTGCCCAAACGATCACGTTCCAGCTGCTCTCTCACTTCCAAGACTTGCAGGGCCCGGACCACAGCTTCCGGCCGCCCCGAAATGGGCTCCGGCAAGGCGGCAGCGGCTGCTGCAGCTGCAGCCACAGCCTGACTGATGTCCTGTTGCGTGTGCGTGCTGTGTGGCGAGGGCGCTGATTTGGCTGGTGCTTGTGCTGCTGCTGCTGCTGCTGGCGTCGGTGCTGCTTGTTGTGGCTGTTGCAAATTGGCCGTGGGCGTTGTGCGTTCCTCCTCCAGCTGCTGTATGCGTCGCTCCAGCGAGCGTACATATTGCAAAGTCTGATCGTTGAGCGTGTGGGCGTTGCGCAAATCCTGCACAGAATTTAGCAGAGCATTAGATAGAAAACACCGAATGAGGTCTATTATCTATCGCATATTTGATTTACCACTTACCGGCAATTGCCTTTGTTCCGCATAGTTGCGCAGCGCTGTGATTGTCTCGTCCGCGTTGGTGCTTGAACTCGATCCGTCTCCATCGTCGCGCAGTGCGTTACGCGTGGCCGCGCCGCAGCTAGCGCAGAGCGCATTGGCAGCAACGTGCGCACGCTCCTCATCCAGATACAAGCAGAGCTCCTTTAGCTCCAGATTGTCGGTGATTAGCTCCTGCTGCTTGTCATCCAGTTGACGCAGCTTGTTCTGTAAGAGAGTAAATCTATTTATTCAAGGAATGCATTTGCATTTTGCATTTAATTCAGCGCAACGCACCTGATAGGCAGCCACCTCTTGACGCATTACACTGGCCGTATATCGACCAAAGCGCTGCCATTCCCGTGCCAGCTTGCGACCCTTTTGACGATCATCGTCCAGAAAGCAACACAAGTCGCGCAATTCCTGATTGTCATCCAGCAGGCGTTGATTTTGCTCTTTCAACGCGCGGAGCTCATTTACCAGGGACTGGAAAATGAAAAGCAAAATACGAGCGTTAAGCAATATTCGTTATTCAAGCAACAATGCCAATGTTTACCTGCAGCTGACGATTCTGTTCGATTGTCAAGCGCCCGCCGTTGGCCGTTGGAATGCCTGTGGTCACGCTGGACGTGACCGAGGCACTGGGCGACGGATGTTCCTGGTCCTGTTTGCGCACAAACTTCAGCATGTCCTGCTGTGCCTTGCTGGGCTGTTGGTGCTGCTGCTGCTGGTGCTGCTGATGCAGACGTGCCTGTTGCTGCTGCTGGCGCTGTTGTTGTTGCTTAACAGAATCTGGTATATAGATACTGGTTAACTGTGGTATGTCCGGCGGATATTTCAGCGGCAAATGAGGCTTCAATATGCCGCCTCCTGTGCCTGGCTGAGGCGGTGGTTGATAGCGTGGGGGTATTGAATGTGCGGGTGCTCTTAAATGAGCAGCTTTAAGAGTTGCCTGCTGTTGCTGCTGTTGTTGTTGTTGCTGTTGCTGCTGCTGCTGTTGCTGTACTTGAAAAAAGCTACGACGCGTCGCTGGTAATTCCTTAGAATTGCTAAGCAGCTGTTGTTGTTGCTGTTGCTGCTGCTGCTGCTGTTGCTGTTGTTGGACAGGCAGACGCGATGCTGTGTGTTGCTGCTGCTGAAGCGTTGAGTGTTGCTGATGTATTGTGGCCACAGTTTGCAGCTGATGCGACTGCGCTGCTGCCGCTGCTGCTGTTACGCTTTGCTGCGCTGCTGCTGCTGGCAACAATGAGCGCCTTTGCTGTAATTGCTGTTGTAGTTGTTGCTGCTTACTAATTGTTGTTGTTGCTGTTGACGTTGCTGCTGTCGTTTTGTGCACAATTTTGTCAGCGCTATTAATTTTTATCAAATTATTGCCTAAATTGTTTGACGTTGCTGTTGTTGTTGTTGCTGCCGTTGCTGCTGCTTCTGCTGCTAATGCCTTTTGYTGCTGTTGTTTTTGTTGTAGTTGTAGCTGCTGCTGTTGTTGTTGTTGTTGTTGCTGTTGTTGCTGCTGTTGTTGTTGCTGCTGCTGTTGATTGCCTGACATTTTAATGTTGGTTCCTTGTTCGTTCACTTATTGTTGTTGTTATTGCTTATGCGATTTCAGTGTCTATGCCCTCGGCGCCATATTGCGTAGTCACTGCAAAAATAAAACGATAAACAAATAAGTAGGAATGTGCGCTAGCTGAGTAATCGACTAGAAGTTACCCTGTATTTTGAGTGTATTGGGAATGTTAAATCTAAAGGTGTCTAGAAAACGAAGCTATATGGAATATGAATTATGATATTTTATATAATAATGAATTTAATCTTGCGGTAATACTTAAAGCAAAAACCTATGAGACGTATCGCTCTCCTAGTTACCCTTTAACATTCAAAGATTCAAGATTACGTGTGTATAATACAATTAGCCTTTGGCATCTAACAGAAGATCTATCTACATAATTATCATACCCATTATTCCAATTTTTCATGGGTATTCAAACCGACGAAGCATTAGGGAAAACACATATGTACATCAATTGGTTGCATGCAAAAGGAAGGAAACAAAGTAAGCTATAAATCAGAGCATTGTAAAATGTAACGCATGCGACATTAAGGGGCACAGCCGCATGTCGTCTCCATATATAGCATGTCTAATAATTAAACTGTCATTAGGTAGCGCCGCTGATAGAAAGTGAAATGCACATTTTCCGCAACAGTGCTGTCTCAACACACACACACACACACACTCGTACATACATTAATATAAAATAGTTTCCTTGGCGTATCTTGTGTCAGTGAGCAACTGAATGCAACGAAGCGTCGTAAATTTCGACGACTCCCAACTGATGGAAATGTCACTGTCACTGTTCTTGTTGTTGTTGTTATTGTTGTTGTTACTGTAGCTAAACGACGCCAAATGCATCAGTCTTGATTGTTGGCTAAATGTTGGTTTCCGTTTCTGGTTTAAAAACCGAAAGCCAGCTGGCACCCATGCCATGCCGTGACTATCTCTCCATCTGCACCTCATTCATCTAGATTTGAAAGTGAAAACATAACGTACCCGCCTCGTATATTGTGCCTCGAGAAGCTATTATTAATGTTCTCTATTTCAATTTCAACTTAGATTAGAATAGAACTGAAAATGGGCTCAGCTTCGGGATACGTTATTGGCAGTGAGGGTCCCCCCTCTCTTATTTAAAATATAAATGCAACAAATTTGATTTTTGAGCAGGAACTAATTATTTGATTTTTTCATTTATTATGCAGATAAGTAAGACAAGTAATATTTCCTTAGCATTTTGCCATTGTTATTTTATTGCTCTATTGTGAAAGATAATTATAATGATCGTACACTCGCAACTAGAATTCCCACAAGTTTGACTCTAGATCCGCCCACCCACTCAGCATGGGAAACCGGTTTGAATAATTTAGCGGCCCAACACCTTCTCTAGCACAAAATAAAATAGGCTTTGGACTTGCATTGTGTGAAGCTGAGAAGATGACTGGCATGTGAGTATAAGCTATACTACTCACACCAATTTATAAGTAGTTAACATACATATCATTCTTGATAAACTGAGGGCAATAAAACATCAAGCTCAATTAATTGTTATTTGTTTATTTTACAATGGACTTATTAATTTGGGTTTCAATTTAAATTTTCAATTGAAAACTGGAAAAGAAAACCCAAACAATATTCACCATAATATTATGTTATTTTGCATAAGATTCGCTCTTTTACTTTTCAGCTTGTTCAGATTTGATATGACTGGGTACGAGTAGAGGCTGGCTGTGAAAGGCTAAAGGGGAGGGCACTCAAGTCGTACCATGTATTGGCATTTCCGACCGTCATTGGCCCCAGTGTCTTCTTCAATGAAATCGACCCCAGGTGCAAAAGTCCAATGCCCAAAGCCCAGAGCCCAGAGCCCAGAGTCAAAGCCCAGGCTGAGGCTCTGGCACTCTGGTTCGGATTCAGAGTCAGGCCACGACAAGGCAATCAAAAGAAACAAATCTACAGCAACAACAATGAGAGTAATATTTGTGCTCATTAAGCGTAACTGACACACGAAGTTGTTGTTGTTGTTTTATATTTTTGTTTTGGGGTTTCATCATTTCGCAAGTGGCCAAAATCTACGGATTCTGTGTCTGTATGTCTCACTCACTCACTCAAGCACGTATGTATGTGTATTGGTATACAAATATCTGTATATATGTATATACATATATTGTACATATGTTTTCAGGCATGTATTTATGCTTCAATCTGGTGCTGGCTCTGCCGCCCCCTGCTTGTGGCTTTGAGAGCAAGAAGAGAAGTTGAAGTTGAAGCTAAAGTTGTTGGCTTCTCGCATTGTTTTTATGTTTTGCTTTTGGCAAATTTCGTTTTCGTCTGCGGCTTCAGCAATAAAACAACAACAACAACAACAGCAACGCCAAAGAGAGCCAAAGAGCGATTGCTATTATTTTAAGGTAATTCGATGATTTACAGCAGTTGCTTTGTCTTTTGTTAGTTGTCTTTCAGAATGCCTCGGCTCTGGCTCCCTCGACTCGATGTGTGGGGCAATTCGAACCAAACAAAACAACAACAACAACAACAAATTTGCAAGCCAATAACAACTAAGAAGATTGCGAGCGGGTCAGCACGACTGCACTGTTTACTGCTCAAATTACAAGTGTAAATATATTATATATGTATATAATTATTAATATTATATTGTGGACATATTGAAAATGGCAATTCGGGTATTCGGGTATTACAATTACTGATTACCACTATTACACTGGTAAGTTGAGCAATGCAGAGAGCGAATATACTCTTGTTCAATTTGCAAAAGATGTGCAACAAAGGGACAGTCAGTCAGACTGGCCGTTCGCAAAGTCCGCCCCTCCGCCCCTCTGCCCGTCTGGTCCGGTCAGGCGCTGGCTCTCTGTCCGTTCGCTGCATTCTTTTGTTATTTCGTAATGGCACCGATGCCGTTTTCTTCTTTACTGTAATTTTTGCATACCCAGCAAGCACAGGGGAAGTGGTTACAAATTTTACCCCACGCCATTTGTTTGGGATCGTAGCGTCTTCAACTCTTTTGTTTCGTTTGGCGTTTCACACCTGCCTTTGTTTTTGCACGGGCGCGATCCTATTTAACGCAGCTGTTGCTCGGCTTCGGGAACTGTGCGTCCATATAAACCTGACAAGTTGATAGCTAAAATGGCTGGTGTAAAGGGCGTAAAGGGAGCCAGCCCTATCTATGATATGGCGCAGCTGTTGTATATTTGTATTATAAAATTTATTGCCCCACAATTTACAGCATGCACAATTTTCCCAGCTGTCAAAGGAACAAGAGACGAGCTTGAGCAGCACTTTCGATGCCATTCTCTCCTGCAACCGGCAACAGCAATATGTGAGGGCAAGCAGCAACCAACTTGCGCTTGCGCTTTCACCTTTCCAGTGGTAACAATCACTTGCACACTTGTTCAGCGCTTGCCACACAAATCGCTTTATTATTAATTGCTTGCCGTTGAGTGAGTGCTATAGCAGGTGCCAAAGGTTAAAGAGAGAAACATTAACGAAAACTTGCTTTTTTTTTCGAAAAAATAAAAAAACAAAGTACAGGCTTATGACTTCTTGTTACATGTCGTATGTTCTCGCTCATACCGAAGTTATTCAGCTTTCCACACATCATTAAGATTATTCACTCTTTACTAGACATTCATAATACCCTCAGATTCTTGACTGATATTGCCAGTAGTGACGGGCCTTCAGAGTATTTCTGCTGGTATCGTGCTCACAAATACATATGTATATGTATATATGATATTATGAATATATAAATGTAAATATTTGCTGCTCAATTCCGTCCCAAAATATAATAGCCACTATTTCAAGTTTTTCGTATCAATAGTGCACGAATTTGAAGCCTATATACTCTCTTCCGTTCGTGGACAAGTGTAAATATAAAAGGAATTATTATCGTTGCGTAATCGCTGTTGATCACAAATATAAAACGAAAATCAGCAAAAAATTGTAGTTTATTTTAGTGTACCTAATGCCATTCAGTTAGGTCTTAAAAATATCCGACAGTCAGCATATTTTGCCGAAGTCTTTTTTCACTGAAGCTTGAAACAACTGTTTAATTAAGGAAATGAGCATAGCCCAAAGAGAAATAAACACACATGCGTAAACCCACACACACACACATGAGCACACAC